AGGTATTATAATGATGCATTAGTTCTAGGAAGAGTCTTTATATTTAATATAACGTCGTTTCTAAAAATTGTTTTCATGAAATGTTTGACGTTTATCTTATACAAATACGTCTAAAAAACGGAGATGTATGAATTATTCAACTTTGATGAAATTGATACCGAATGCAGGGTATACTACTGTTGCCTTTATTTATCACCACCGGACCGGAATCACTGCTGGTGGACAATCTGTCCCCGAGGATTCTACCAGTCCGGTAGCCTTACAGCATGAAAACTAGTAGAATAAAAAATATTATACTGGATAACACGCCCCCCAGGATAAAAAGGTGTCAATCGGATGTTGTCAAGGATACAACAACACCTATTTTATCAGGTGTCCCCATGATCATCTTAAATGATGAAATGAAAATGAAACGTGTGCAGTCTTCTGATTCCTCGTTGTACTATAAAAATTCAGACAAGGTTGTTTGTATTCGGCCCTGTACTGTTCAACTTTCAGATATTTTAGATTTCAATGACAACTTTCAATATTGCTGTATTTCCAAATGTAACCGTAAAAATTGTAAAACCTGTGATACACTAATATCTGATACCCACTTTCAAAGTTATTTGACCACCAAATGTTACAATACACACAGTCATGAGGATTTGAATTGCACTGCTTCCAATATTGTGTACGGTATTGAATGTACTCTTTGTGGATTGATCTACGTCGGGGAAACTCGACAAAGACTCAATTTTAGAATGAATGACCATCGGTCTAATGTTAATGATCCTAATAACATTTCAATCAGCCTGATCATTCTATTGTTTCAATGAAAGTCAGGATTATAGAAAAAATATATCATTCAACAAATCACCCCATATTGAGGACACTATATCGTTTACAAAGAGAAGACTTTTGGATAAAAGAGTTGGGAACAGCCATTCCCTATGGATGCAATGACAATATTGATGGTATAGGTATTTTGTCTAGTCCCAGGTGTAGTACTGTCAAAACATTACAATTATTGAATACTTCAGCTCGACCAAATAGAATTCATGGTCACAGAAAATATACACCACCTGCTGTACACACCGTGGCAATTGTTAGTCTGTTAACGTCTGTTCAAAAACCTTTAGGAATTCATCATATCAGAACTAAATTATACTCCATTCCATTATCTAAACTTTATTTACTATTTCGAGAGGCCCAAAATACTTCCGTTATTGATTCTAATTCTGTTTGTATAGATTAGTTGCAATAATCATGGACATTGCTAACCATAGACTATTCAAACCCGTATCAACTACATCCAAAAATGAAGAAAAACGTATTTTCTTTTAAGGTAGAATTCGCCAATAAAGGTTTATATACTATTAATATTAGCAATATTTTCCACCAAAAATCTGTACAAAAACTATACCTGATTACTTCAAAAATAACGCTACACCTGTAATTTCTTATACTTACACCAAGTCTATTGCATCCAAGATTTTCAACCACAAGAGGGTTTTAGAGGCCTTTAACCTCAAAGATGTGAAATCCAAACCTCCGGATTACTCATGTGCATCGTCACAATAGTCCATCTGGTCATGTTATTACTGGCGACCTTGGCATCGTTACCAATGAACAACTAAGAGAGTTGTTAGCCAATTGACCAACATATAGAATTCCCCAGCCCATCAACTGGAAAAAGAACTTCAGGTTACTGATGGATGCAGTTGGGGACTATTCTAGAAAATGGGTATAGCGCGAACAAGACGAACCAGAACTGGACACTTTGTCTGAATGGATCAAAGCTATTCGATCATTCTGAAACTACGATGTACTATGATCACAACGGTTTCTAACCCTTTCAAGAATCCAAAGGTTGTGGATGCTTTATCCTCTTTGCATGTCGAATATGTCGTTGTTCCAACAGATAAAGCCTCCAATAATATTGTCTTCATATGTAAAAGCCATTATTTGCAATGTCTCACAACAGAGCTTGGAATAAACAGCACAACTGGTAATCCTACATATTCTTTAACATCATTTACAAAGGATGAAATTTTTACAAAATCACAAATCTGTCCTTCTTTCTTTTGGTATCAACATCAAAGAAAACGAAGAAAATTTCCCGTCATTATACTGGATACCAAAGCTTCACAAAACTCCATATAAAGAACGATACATAGCTGGATCAACAAAATGTTCGACTAAACAGATTTCTAAAGTAATGACTACTATTCTTTCTACAGTAAAAGATGGCCTTCAAAAATATTGTGATGAGATATATTCTACCAGTGGTGTTAACCAGATGTTGATTCTCAAAAATTCTTAAGATCTACTGCTTAATCTTAGATCACAATCTCTGCCTGCAATTTTGCAGCAACATTAATACTTTTGATTTTTCTACGCTTTACACTACTATTCCCAATGCTCAATGGAATGATCGACTTCACCATCTCATTAAACAGAGCTTTTTCTATAAAAATGGGAATCGTAGATACAAATTTCTTGTTTTGGGTTATAATAATTCATATTTTGTGAAAAACCACACTGAATCTACCAGAAAATATACTGGAGATGATATTATCAAAATGCTGGTCTTTTTGATCGACAATATATTTGTTGAGTTTGGAGGATTGATATTTCAACAGACAGTATGTATTTCAATGGGTACTAATTGTGCACCCTTACTGGCCGATTTGTTTTTGTGCTCGTATGAAGCAGAATTCATTCAAAACCTTCTAAAAACAAAAACAAAAAGCACCTTGCGAAGTTCTTTAATTTTACTTTCAGATATATTGATGATGTCCTATCACTGAATAACCCATATTTCAGCCAATACTTACATCTCATATATCCCAGTGAACTGCTTCATACCTTGATCTTTTCCTCAATATTGACACAGATGGACGACTTCACACTAAAATCTATGACAAACAGGACGATTTAAACTTCCCAATTATCAATTTCCTATTTCTCAACAGTAAAATACCCTCTGCCCTATCGAATGGTGTTTACATATCTCAGTTGATACGTTGTGCTCGTGCATGTTCACACTATACGGACTGCATATACAGGAGTGTGCTCCTTACGCAGAAACTGCTCCAACAAAGTTATGAGGAGGAAAGATTAAAAATGACACTTCGTAAATTTTATGGGAACCATCAGAAATTGGTTGATCCATACGATGTGTCTGTGTCTAAACTAACTAAGGACATTTTTACCACGTCTTAGATTGTGGTTTACCATTTACGTCGTCTGGTCTTTTAAGTACCGAACATGACCTATTCTCGAATATGACTGTTTTGCTGAGTGTGAATTCGCATTGCTATAAGACGTGTCACGGTATTTGTTTATCCAACATTAATGTATTTAGTTATGATGTTGTATTTGTAATTCTGATCGGATATTGTTAAATGTCTATCGTTTGTAGTTGTAATTAGGTCTTTCCACTTTTCTGTGGAAAGACCTATTGTATGTGTTCTGATTATTAGGTCTTTCCACTTTTCTGTGGAAAGACCTATTGCATTTGTTCTGATTATTATTATATTTTTCTTCTTCCGCCAAACCCTTTTCTTGCGGTATACAGTTGTTTCGCAAAATGTCGCTAAGATATTTTGGATATTATATCGAAAAGTTATTGCGCTTTTAAAACTTATCTTTTTTAGCCGAAGACTTTTTCATTGTAAGAGTTATCTCCCCAAACACTGTTTTTCTTGTGAGTGTATCTCCTTCGTAACCAAAAAAGATAACGACAAAATTATTTTTCCTATTTGTTCGTTACATCTTCAGGAATTTTTGGCTGATTTGGATCAAAGCGATTCGGTGAAATCTTATAGGGGTTATCTACCTTTACCAAATAAATTTGTCGTTATATTTTTGTAACTCATAAACCGGTAGCCGTATAAACCTAGAGTCTTTTATATTTCTCAAGTAGCAAATTATCTCCCTTTTTACAGGCAAAAGTATAAATAAACCATATATTTTTGGAATCAGTGAAAATAAAGCTGTCATATGAGACCAGAAGTGACATTTTCTAAGCCGGATGTTGGCAATTATCTCCCTTATTTCAGGCAAAAGTATATAGAAACCATATATATATTGAATCAGTATGAATAAACCTATGATTGGACGCCAATAGTAACTTTGAGTAAACCAAAAGTAGCTTCGTATCAATTATTTAGAAAATTGATGTGGAAAGACCTTCAATTGTTCTTTGAACAATTGGTTTTTAATTATTTTTTTTTTTCATCTTCCGCCACTTTTTTTTCTTGCGGGGTATTGTGGTTTTGCAAGATGTCGCTTAGATTTTTTGCATATGATATCAAACAGTTATTCCGCTTTTGAGACTGATCCTGTTCAGTCGAAGACTTTTTATTGTCAGAGTTATCTCCCCAATCACTGTTTTCCTTGTGAGGGCATCTCCTCCGTAACCGTAAAAGAAATCGACAAATTTATTTTTACCAAATTGCTTGTTATATCCTTAGGATGTTTTGTCCAATTTTGACCGAAGCGACACGAAGACTCCATATGAGAGTTATTTCCCCTTATGCATTTGATATAAGTGATATGCATTTGTTACTTGTAAACCATAAGTGACAGAGACCTAGGGTCTGTTGATTTGAGGTCCTTGGTAAAAAAAAATGAAAATTAGGTCAAAGTCAAAGGTCAAGGTCATGTTGTGTGATTTTTTACATTAAGTTCATATCGCTTCTTCCCAGAAAGAGTTAAGAGTTATAGATATCGACAAAACAATTTAACCAAAATGTTTGTCACGACACGTCCTTACTAGAAATTTTTGTCAAAATGGTACGCGTCATTTTATTGGAGGGATATGCCCGTGTTATGGTCAAATCAACAAATTACTTATCAAACTTTGCAGCTTTCGTATAGTAAATGTGACTTATCTCAATTATCAACCACAGTCTACCACTAAACTCAACCCCCCCCCCCACCTACCCCCTTTTTTTCAACTGTTTTTTTCATAGTTATCCCATTTTTATGAGAAAAAAATTGCTTTTACAAACCTCTTTCTGAAATAAAAATCCATCCCTGCAAAAATCTCCTCCAATTCATGTATTTTCTGAAATTAATCGATAAACGTTTTGTTAAATACTATAATAACAGCATAATTTTTTGTGTGCATGCAATAGTTTACCTGTAAAATGTAAAATGAATCAAGAAAAAATGTTCCCGATAGGCGCGGTCTGTTTGATTGAGAAATAAAGTTCATTGACGTAGAAATCGCTCCCAAGTTTTTAAATATTACTGAAATCCTACAATCAAATTTCTAAACATGCATTAAAATACAAATCTGTGATCCCGTAAACATGTGTACGTAAAATGCATGCATGATCCGACATCAATGACCTGTAAATAATAAAACCAATAGTGATCGTGTTTGTCCGATCAATACACATATGCTCTGTTCAACGGTCTCCCCTGAAAAGAAATTAAACTCTAGACATATATATTTGAGCGTCACATGACTTCACAAACACCACCGCGCGCGCAGACCTAAAATTAGAATAAAACATTGCATATCCAAATATAGAAAGTGAAACTTCCAAGACAAAATGTTACTCAGTTTTTTCCTACAAGTTCAAACAAAATGCACATACAGCACATAAAAGAAACCACGAAGTACGAGTTCCCGTAGAAAATTGAGAAAATTTTTAAAAAAGAAGATGTAAGGATTTTTATTGATTAGGAAATCCTGAGTCTGTCCGTTTGGGAGTGCGGATTGTACAAAGTACGCAGCCACGTCGTCGATCAGAATATTGACATTAAGTCCGATGCCTCGCATAGAAAGAGTGCCATGCAAACTTCCAATCAATCAATCAATCAATCAATCAATCAATCAATCAATCAATCAATCAATCAATCAATCAATCAATCAATCAATTGATCAATCAACCAACCAACCAACAAATCAATCAATCTGTTCAATACGGGGTCCAAGATCGCATTTGTTTCTTTTTCGCTTGTTCCAATGGTTCCTATCCCATGTGTTTAATTAGTATATCAGTCAATCAACCTACCAACCAACCAACCAACCAACAAACCAACAAATCAATCAATAAAAAAAATCATTTGATCATGTTTCGGAGGGGAATGACCGTTTAACAAATGTTTTTAAAACAATTGATTTATATTTAGGTCTTTCCACTTTTCCGTGGAAAGACCTATTGATTTTGTTCTGATTTTTATTTTTCTTCCGCCTAATTTTGTTTTCTTTCGCTGTTTGGTTTTTCGCAAGATGTCGATTTGATATTTGGTATATGATATCGAACAGTTTATGCGCTTTCAAAATTGACCCTGCTTAACCAAATACTTTTCTTTGTAAGAGTTATCTCCCCGAACACTGTTTTTCTTGTGTTTGCTACTTCTTCGCAACCGTAAAAGATTACGACAAATTTATTTCACCAAATTGCTGGCTATATCTTCAGGATGTTGAGTTTGGTTTTCAACGGAGCGGTCCGGAGACTCCATGTGAGAGTTATTTCCCCTTATGCATTTGATATAAGTGATATGCATTTCTAACTGGTAAACCATTAGTAATAGAGACCTATGGTCTTTTGATCTGAGGTCCTTGGTCCAAAAAAAAGAAAGAAAATTAGGTCAAGGTCAAAGCTCAAGGTTATATACTAGAATTTTATTTTGGCTTATTTTCATTTTTTTCAAAAATTGTATTAGAAATCGACAAATTATTTTTACTAAATTGTTAGTTGCGACATGTCGTAACACATACATTTTTGTTGAACTGGGTACACTAACATAAAATAGGAGTTTTCTCCTCCCCTTATATTTAAAATAAAGCATATGATGATATAACTCATTAACCATATATAATTAAGACGTAGGGTCTTTTGATTTGAGGTCCTTGGTTTATGACCTTGAAATTGAGCGCAAGGTCATAGGTAAATTTGACGTTGTAGATTTTGACCTTTGCTTTTACCTCATAAGTATACATGATAAAGTCATGGGACTTTTTGCATTATCATTTGACGTTGGAAAGCAAACCGGAAGTGACCTCGTGTAAACCGGAATTAGCTATTTTTTGTGCATATTTAATGTAAAAGTATATAGAACCATATATTTTTGGAATCAGTGTCAAGTGAACTTTCAAAAAATACCGGAAGTATCATTTATCAAACCGGAAGTCTCAAATTATCTTCCTTTTTGTATAGAAACAATATATTTTTGGAATTAGCGTACAATAAGCCATCATTTGAAGCTTGAAATGACATTTTAAACCGAATTTTAATATTTTTATTTCAAAATAGATCTTTACTGGTGGAAAGACCTTCAATTGTTCTCTGAACAATTGGTTTTTAATATTGTTATTACTATTCTTCTAGAAGAAAAAACCCACATGCATGTTATGTGATCTTCTCTGAAACTACATGTCCAATCGACCTGAAAATTTGCAGTCAGCAGTGTATACATGTATTACATCTTCGTATAACAACGTTGTGCAGCTATCTTCCAAGAATTTTCGTAGAGATTTCAATGCCGTAAAAATCGCTTGCTAGCTCTGTAAATCTCAGTGAAATCCAACAATAAAATGTCTGCTCCTTGATTAAAATACAAATCTGTGTTACAAACTGGTGCTGAAAAATGTACATTGTATGAAAATATTCATAAACATGTTTTAAAAGTACACAGGATCAATTAAATCCAAAGCATGCACTGCTCGTGAACTCTGATCACAACATCAATTACCTACAATGACAAAAGAAATACATTGTGTGTAACTCCATCGATATACATGTTGTCTGTCTAACGTCTCCACCTAAATATGAATAATTATACTAAGTTTTCGCTATTATAAACCCTCGTCACGTGACGTCTCAATCTGGCGCGAGAGACGCGCGAGGGACATGAAACAGAATAAAAACTTACTAACTAAATATAGAAACTTAACCAACACAATAATATAGACCCTTTAAAGAAAGAAGGAAACAAACAAACAAACACACACACACACACACACACACATACATAGAAATCAATCATGTTTTTAAGGGGGAAAGACCGTTTACAATTGCTTTTTTAAAGCAATTGATATATATATTTTTTTTTCCGCCTAATTTTTTTTTTCTTTCGCTGTTTGGTTGTTTCGCAAGATGTCAATTTGATGTTTGGTATATGATATCGAACAGTTTATGCGCTTTCAAAACTGACCTTGCATAACCAAATACTTTTTTTTTGTAAGAATGATATCCCCGAACACTGTTTTTCTTGTGTTTGTCACTCCTTCGCAACCGTTAAAGATAACGACAAAATTATTTCACAAACTTGCTCGTTATATCCTCAGGATGTTAGATTGGTTTGGACCGAAGCGTTCCGGAGACTCCATATGAGAGTTATTTCCCCTTATGCATTTGATATAAGTGATATGCATTTGTAATTAGTAAACCATAAGTGATAGAGACCTAGGGTCTTTTGATTTGGTGTCCTAGGTCCAAAAAAAAAAAAAAATTAGGTCAAGGTCAAAGGTCAAGGTGATTTGAGGTCCTGGGTTCATGACCTTGAAATTGAGCTCAAGGTCATAGGTTAATTTGACGTTCTAGATTTTGACCTTTGCTTTTACCTCATATGTATACATGATAAAGCCTTGGGACTTTTTGCATTAGGTTGCAAACAACTTAACCTATTATTTTGTACATATAACATATAAAAGTATATAGAACCATATATTTTTGGAAGCAGTGTGAAGTAAACTATCAAATAATACCGGAAGTGACATTTTCAAAATCGGAAGTAACAAATTATCTCCCTTATTTAGAGAAAAATGTATAGAAATCATATATTTTTGAAATCAGCGTACAATAAGCTATTATTTGACGCTGGAAATTACATTTTAAAACGAATTTTATTAGTTTGATATTAAATAAAGGCAACAGTAGTATACCGCTGTTCGAAACTCATAAATCGATAGAGGTAAAAACAAATCCGGGTTACAAACTAAAACTGAGGGAAACGCATCAAATATAAGATGAGAACAACGACACAACAAAAACACAACATTAAAATGTAACACACACAGAAACGAACTATAATATAACAATGGCCATTTTTCTGACTTGGTACAGGACATTTTAAGAAAAAAATGGTGGGTTGAACCTGGTTTTGTGGCATGCCAAACCTCCCGCTTTTATGGCAACGTCAAACACAACACCAAAACGACAATATCACATGACAGGACCACAATACAAATAAATGGGAGAACATATAGGACAGAGAAACACACGAATAATAGCTTGCAGAAGGTACTAGGCTTAAAATTCAATACGCCAGACGTGCGTCTCGTCCACACAAGACCAACCAGTGACGCTCAGATAAAAAAAGTTTGAAAGCCAAAACAAGTACAAAGCTGAAGAGCACCGAGGACCAAAAAGTTGCGCTTTACACGGCCAGGATAGATCTTTATGGGTGGAAAGACCTTCAATTGTTCTCTGAACAATTGGTTTCTAATTAATATTTTTTTTTCTTCTTCCGCCACTTGCGTGTAAATTTTGTTTCGCAAGATGTCGCTTTGGTGTTTGGTATATGATATCGCATAGTTTATGCGCCTTTGAAACTAACCCTGCTTAACCGTATACTTTTCTTTGTAAGAGTTATCTCCCCGAACACTTTTTTCTTGTGGGTGCATCTCCTCCGTAACCGTAAAAAAAGCGAAAAATTTATTTTACTAAATTGCTCGTTATATCCTCAGGATGTTTTGTGCAATTTTGTCCGAAGCGGTACGAAGACTCAATATGAGAGTTATTTCCCCTTCTGTATTTGGCATAAGTGATAGATTGATGTATAGCATGAATGGTAAGCGATAGAGACCTAAAGTATATTGATTTAAGGTCCTTGAATCACTAAAATAAAATTGAGGTCAAGGTCAAGATCAAGGTCATATTCTATATTATGACTTTTCCTTGTTTTATGATCTCTTCTGTCACTTTTAAAGATATATATAAAAGAAATGAATGTTTGCCTGATTGTTATGAAGCTTTAAGGTTGATTATTACTCCAACTTTGTACATGATAAAGCCATAGTGTCTTTTGCAAACTGTTGGTTGACATATG